ACGGCGTATAACGAAGCAGACTTAACGAGGAAGGAAAAATGGAATCAAGCTAGTCGAGATCAGTAAAGTGAATGAATGATTTTTTGATTTTTAATACTAAAATGCTGAATCCGTGTCTCTATGCCCAAGAAGGCTAGCTCCCCACTCGATGTGCGCGGATCGCGCGCGCTATCGTTACTCAGGTATAATACGCGAATTTAAATGAAACAAAATTTGATATACAGGGTCTACCCATGAAGTTAAAATAAAATAAAAATTAAAATCCTGAATAGGCCGAAATATAGTAATGAAAATTGACTTCATTACATAACTTAATTGAGTTAGAGAGAAGAAGAAAATAAGGTTATATATAGTGTTATTTTTTTACGTTGGTAGTAAAGTAGTTATAAAGTGAGTTGTGTTGAGGTGAGAATCGGTGATCTGTGTTGGCGGTAGCGCTCTGGCAGAAAGAAAAGACCTCAATGGCGGAAAGTTGTAACAAACCTAATTTTGACAAAATTATAAAACTCAGTAGTTAAGTCGACACAAGCTATAAGCAGGACCCAATATTTCATCTTACCAACACTGTGTGTTAAATTTAATTCATTCCTATTTTTTCTTTTGTAAACTGAAAACGATTAAATCTAGTTACCCTTTTCGGGATAAAAGTTATTAAATAAAGCCCTTTTATTGTTAATTTTTTTGTTATTATTACCTTTTATGTAATATGGTCAAATGTCGTCCCTCAGACGTCTGATTTACGTCCCTAGGACGTCCCGTAAAGGTCCTTATGGATGTCGCCAAAATGGACGGAAACGGGACATTAGAACGTCCATCGGACGTCGGATTTACGTCCCGATACTAGAAGAGGACGTCTTTTAGACATCTATGTGCTATGGGGAATATTATATTATAGTTCATAAACTAAATTTTTCATTCTTTTTCCCAATTTCTCCACTTTTCAATATTTTCAGAAACTAGTTATAAAATCAAATCCGCTTAGATTTATTTCCTGGATGGCCCGTCTTACATTCTGAAAAATTATCTTATACTTAACCATCTGCTAAAGCCGCCTAAAACAAGTCACCAGTTGCAAAATCTCAACAGGTAAAAATATATCCCCACCTGCGAAGTTTTCCGCCTGCAAAAGGTAGAGTCCTCAGTTAAGAAGTTCTGAGTTGCAAAGATACTGTATATTTTGTATAATGTGGGAAAACGTTCCTAACTAGTTGCCGCTTTCCCATATTTAACGAATCGTGAATTAGATATTGTGCTTTTATTGATTAATAATAGTTTATTTATGTATAGTACAGGATCCATAAGTAAGGTCAACCTTTACCCATCTGTTTATTGGATAAATTTTTTTTATTAAATAAAATATGCTTATAAATATACCACAAATAGGTTGCTTAAGAAAATACGGTCATGGCCATTTTTTCAGTTTCATTTCTGTATACAGATAAGAAAAGTATAGGAATCATGATAAAAGTAGCTTGTGATGTCATTCTCAATAATTTTGTTCCTATACATGATTTCTCTAAAATGGACCTAATTAGAGATATTTGAAGAAAAGTGCAAATTTAGAATTTTGAAGATAATTCAAAACGGATGAAGAGAAAAATACAAAATTTTAAACTCTAGCTTTAATCCATCCTGCGGTGAGCTGACTAAAGTTTGGGCATAGTCGAAGCATCTGGGAAATACTTTACAGACTATCGTTTTTTTTTTACTTTAAGGAAATAAATAGTCATACGGTATTTTCTTAGGCAACCCATTTGCGGTATATTTATAAACATATTTTATTTAATAAAAAGAAACTTTCATCCGTTAAACAGATGTGTGAAAGTCGACCTTACTTCGGATCTTAGACCAGTATCAAGTCAGCAAAGTGATTCTCTATCGAACTATAGTTTATTTCAAAATGAATAATAGCAAAATGTTTATAACCCCAGGATATAAACCCCAATATAACATCATAAATCAATGACCGAGAATAAAAATAAATGTGGGTACCGTAGTATGGGGTGACTTAATATGCAACTTTCAACCAAACTAAAAATCATGATTCCTATACTTTCCTTATCTGTTTACAGATAGGAAAGTAAAAATAGACACCTACTCTTTCGACCCTAAAGAACAGAATGATACATTAAAATTGTTTCTATATAGTGTAGTGTAAAAAAAATACCGGACCTTATATTTTATTATAATTTGATGATCCCGAGTGGCCATCGGACGAAGACGAAATTTGATCATGAAGATTTAGATGTCATTAACATAAAATTAATGTTTGGAAATTAAATTAATTTACGAGTTTTACCAATTTAGAAAATAAAATTAATAAAAAAAAAAAAGTGTGTCTGCTCGTGGGTTTGAACTCTGAACCCTTCGATTCCCAGGTAAGGACTCGTAAAGTTTCCGTTATTGACACATGAAAAAGTTTTACTTTTTAACGCTGATAATCAGATAGGTTTTAGTTTCATTAAAATCTCAATTTATTTCTAAATATAGACGAATCACTCATTTTTACTTTCCTATCTGTATACAGATATAAGGAAAGTATAGGAATCATGATTTTTTTCGACCTCGAGTTTTCGACGGATTTTTACGTTTTGAGGTCCCCTGAATCCGTTTTGACTATTTTCGCGATGATGTCTGTGTGTGTGTGTCTGTATAACGCATAACTCATGAACCGATAGACGGAAAAACACCAAATTTCAAACTTAAGCTTTGTTCCAACATCTAATGAGCTGAGTAGATTTTGGGCAGAGTCGGAACATCTGGGGGGGTACTTTATAGGTGGTCATTTTTATATTTTATGGAATATATCTGTTATTTACGTTTGGGGAAGAAAATTCTTCAAATGAAAGTTACTTCTTATTTTATTATCTATAATTTTTGTTATATACAAAATTTTCCTAAAATGGTCCGTATTCGCAAAATTTGACAAAATGTAAAAAAATATTTTTTTTTATAAAAATTGTTCAAACAAAAGTTGTTTGTAATATAATTCTCTATAATTTTTATCCTATAGATAATTTCTCTAAAATGGACCGTATTCGAGATATTTGAGAAAATGTGTAAATTTCGAAATTTGAAGAAAACTCAAAAATGGATAAAGAAAAAACATTAAATTTTAAACTTAAGTTTTATTTCGGCCTGACGTGAAATGATTAGATTTTGGACAAAGTCGGAACATCTGGGGGGGTACTTTATGGGAGGCCGTTTTTATATTTTATGGAATATATCTGTTATTTATGTTTGAAGAAAAAAATTGTTCAAATAAAAGTTACTTCTAATATTATTATCTATAATTTTTGCTTTATGTAAAAATTTCCTGAAATGGTCCGTATTCGAAAAATTTGACAAATGTGCAAAATTCTGATTTTTATGAAAATTGTTGAAATAAAAGTTGTTTGCGATATCGATCTCTATAATATTTGTTTATACATGATTTTTTTAAAATGGACCGTAATGGAAAAATTGTAGGAAAAGTGCCAAATTTAAATTTTTCAGTATTTTCATTTTCAATGAATATCTATAGAAAAATGTTTCGCGGTAGATGTATGTGGACAATGTATATATTTAGTTTATCCTCTAAACATTTATAGAGATGCTGCAATAGGTTGTACAAAATAACCGGAAAAAGCCTGTAATACCTAGATAGGAAAGTCATGTGTTGGACACATCAGATTTTTAATCTTAATAACTAAAAAAATATATATTGACAATTAATTTGACAGAATTGTCGCTTATAAAGTTCTAACATCTGACCAGCAAATAAAATCGTTACTTCAATTATTGTACCAATAGGTGTCGGACGCGATTGCCTCCAATAACTTTTACATGGCGATTATCCCACTATAAGTTCTTTATACAATGATCAAGCCCACAGGTTTGCCATATCATAACCTGTCATTACCCACGGGAAACCATTTTGTTTCGAATGCCTAATAAATAAAATAATATACTTATTAAAATAATTAGGGGAAAAATCACTACTTTATGTAAACAGATAAAAGATGTGATATGGAAGTTTTTTTTTTCTTTCTTTTCTTTGGTGTACGGCTTCAACATCTAAGGTCATTAGCCTAGTGTTCTATGTAGGTTATGGATTGTACTAGTAGTCTAGTACTCCATAGTGCAGGAGTATTAGTACTCTAATACTCCTACACCCCTACAGACAGGCCTTGTTACTGTTTCCTTGCGCCACTTTAGGAACAGCACTGTTAATTAGAACCCAACAGTGAATGGTCGAGTGGGGAATCCTACCAAGACATCGGAATTAATTTTAGTGATATGGAAGTGATGTTATCAGAATTATCAAATAAGGAAATGGACCTTAATTATAAATCAATAATAGTTTAGAAAGTATAGTTTTGTATTAAATCAGAAATTAAATATTTTAATTGCTACCAAAAGTTACCACAAAGTGAGGTTATGTGAATAGGGCGAAGTTTGTTACTTTTAATTTTGACACCCTTTAACAAAAAAATCATTAAAATGATCTAATAAAACTTCGTTTAGTTACGGACCGTGGAAAATACCTCAAAATAAACAGAATTTAAAATGTATGGGACGTTTAGCTTAGGATGGTTTAACTGTAGAATTGTGCCTAACTCTATAATGCTAATTATATCAAGATATTTTTAGATTGTGTTATTGTAAGGGCGCTTATAGCCGCACAGTAATGGTTAAAAAAATAGCAGTAGAATGTATCGGACTAATGCAATTAGCCATGCACATCGCCGCGCACCTTGCCGAAATTGGGAACAAAACAATTTGTTTTTCTGTAGACAGCTGCGCAGCAACGTAAACTGCTCCTCTATGTATTAACACTTGGAAAAACTTGACTTCTTAGCATTCTTTTTAAATGAATTATACTGTTAATACTACTTGATATTTTGATACATTTGAGTTTGTATTTTATTTTTTCTATATTCTCAGCGTAACAATACTTAAAAGCAAACGGAAGGAATAATTTGGGAATTACATTAACATTTTAAATTATTTTTGACAAATATCACTTTATTTACTAAGCTTCTTCTACATACAAAATACACCATAATTATTAATGTATAAGCCAAAATAAAAACCAATAATAGATTGTACTGCTAATTAATAATCCAATTGATAATTATTCTAGGTTATTCAAAGGCATTTTGCACTTTACTTAATTTATAACAAATAAACGATCTGACACTCTACTGACTATAGGGCACTCAGTGGAATTATTTGGTAATATGCACAAGATTCTGCGACTTTTAACAATTAATCCACACACATGATTATATCTACAATAAATAGATAAAAATATATTTAATAGTATGTCTTTCCAAATAATGTACATAGTGGAAAATAAATTTAGGGAAAGAATTTTTTCTAAAGTATCTAGAAAACTGAGAAGGAACATCTAAAAATGATTACAGAAAACAATGTCTTAGTATTGAGTCCTAGCACCACATACAAGACTCATACTTTTATGATGCCAATGTTTAAGGCTTTTTAGTTGAACATTTCTGCTAGTAAACATTGTATAAAAAGTCGTATATCTTTAAAAACACTTTTTTACTTACAGTAAGTATAATTACATTATAGATCAAATTAAGATTTGTTCAACAAAAATAAAAAGAAATACATATTTTGTTAGGCAATAATCTTCTTTAAAAAGAATGAAAAATAAAGTTTCAGCTTAAATAATTTTAGTCATAATTTAAAATTAAATAAATCGCTGTTTTGTAATTAATAAAAAACAATTGAAACAAAAAATAAACTAAATATTGTATCAAATAAAAATATATATACCAGGATAGCATAAAATATCTGAAAAAACACTGAAAATTGTTAATTAAAAAAAATATTTAAAGACCATTTTTCTAAAATTCTATAATATCAATGATGGACTTGCATAATAGAATAAACGATTATTTCACGAATCTAATACAGTAAACATTTTAAGCACAAAAATTATTTTTATTTATTCATACAATAAATACTTGATAGTAAAGTTATATAGCCGGTTGCAAGAACGTTCAATAAATTTAGTAACGTCTTCAAAATTCAAAAATTTTACATGAATTTCAATTAAAATTATAAGTCTGATAAAATTTGACAGAGCTTAGAATGAGACGTGCCTGAATGACATGAAATTCAAATTATTCATATTTTTTAAAATTTATCAAGCTCCTAAATTTTAATGGGCCTTTTTGCAACCAGCGGTGCTTTAAAAAGTTTACATTTAAATCAATAATTTAAAAGAAATTATTTTTGCGCCATTTTGTCGCGTCATAATGAAACACCTGTTTTCAGTGGTTATGGTTATGCTATTAATAAAGTGATCAGATCTGCATAATTTTTTAATAGCGACATTTATGTGTTATCTCTATATAAAATTTAAGACACAAACAAACCATACAACCAGTTCTATGACACACACTCACAACAATCACAGAATAGGTTAGGAAGAAAGAACGTTGCCGGATGCTAGAGAAAATATGCTGATTATGAATAACCTTTATCTTAAGAAGACTGTTAAATAAAATAATGGGGTCTAAAAACAAATTAATTTAATCAAAAAATAGCCAATGAAAGAAGTTATGAGTGAATACAGTGAAAAATACCGTGAACGGTTATCAGTGCATCCAAATACATTAGCAAAGTGTTTGTTTGCAGACTGTGAATGACCTCCAAGAATAAAGCGACTAAAACCATCAGATTTTATAACTAGATACACATAATACATTAAATATTGAGGCAATATTTCAATACTCCATTGAAGAAAGTTATAACTCACGATACGCCATTTGAAATTCAGCCACAGGCGTTTTTAACAAAATGAGGAGAATATATCAGTATAAAAATAAAAAAATATCTCAATTCGCAATGGTTTGGCTGATACTCGTTTGAAAAAGTTTTATTTCAAGTAACTTGCACTATTTCAGCCTTAAAAATAAACACCTTTTTCTGCAGTCACTATCCAAAGTAGACTTTTGCGCTTCGAAATCCAGCCACAAAGTTGACGTTTACCGCGAACTGACATTGACAGCTTTGTTGCTCGCCGAGCGACAAAATTGACAGCTTCGTTGCTCGTCTAATTGAAATTAAGTATAATATAATATGAGTGTTAAAAACAGGGTAATTTATTTTTAATATTTTAATTAGACTCTACACCAACAAGATATGTTAAATATGAGTGTTAAAAACTATTATTTAAATATTAAGGAAAATGAGTTTGAGAATTAAATGTTCAACTAAAAGATTCAGATTAGTTTACAATTTCTTTTAAAATACCGACTAGCTTTATAATAATGAAAATAGGCGTATGCTAAAAGTAACTTTCCGCCTATATGTGGCAATAATGTCAAACTATGACAATTCATGGAAAACGTCAACTTTCCAGTTAAGATTTGAATGTGCAAAAGCCTACTTAGATAGTGATCGTAGAAAAACTATATATACAGATTAGGAAAAAATTATACGAGCCATAGGCTATATACTGCGAGTGAATATAATGTCTCTATACTTTCTGTACAACGCTTACCACCACTCCGCGCCATGTGAGCTCACAAATAAAGTCCAAATTTAGTAATGCGTGAACCATAAATAATCATAATAATAATAATAATAAATACAATATTTACGTAATTCCCTGATTCTAGAATTAAAAATATTTGCAAGTGAAAAATAACTTGATTTTAAATTGAATCTTAATAGTTTTGACCGTTAAGTTTACCAAAAATGAAAAATTGTCAATAATGTGGTCCCTTAAAATACCAGTGCAAGTATTTAATTTACTAAGAATACTGTGAACAATTTCTTACTACAAATGGATCGTTTGTTGTGTAATGAAAAAGTTGACAGGCCGGTAAATAAAAAGTTTTTATTTTGATTCTGCCGATTCATTATAATTTCCCGAAACTTCATCCGTATGAAATTATAAAAAAAATACAAAGTAACAAAATTATGCTATATATATTGTAACGAGTGACGAGTATCTCGTAAATGTTCACCGATTCGATTACGATGCTCTCCGACGTTTTACGAATATTGGCCTGCAATTAATAGAGATGGGCGTACTTACACTGTATGGCTCATATATTGTTTTCCAAACATGTATATTATTAAATAGGAAAAACCAAACATATTACAACTATTATTGTATCAATGATGTCATAAGGAACCAGAAACAGACAAACTTTAACTGCGAAATCTTGAATGGCAAAAGACAAGCCACTTTTTAAACAATCACAGATTGACCCAAAGTCAAAGACGTGTGTAAAGTACAAAAGCGACAGAGTGGGTACTTAAAGTAATGTAGGGTTAAAACTTAGCCAATAGGTTGCAGTGTTATCGCCACTCGCCAGGAGAAAAAACGATACACCTAAAACACAATGTTTTTCATTCAATAAGATGAAATCCAAGAGTACTAAATATTAAGTAGTCTCTTATCATAGATAATGAAATTTTCGGTTTACAAAATTCAATGAACTGTATCTAATGATAGCAACTTTCCTTTTACTGTAATCCTTAAAATATATCTTAAGAGAAGCAACTTTCTTCATTTTCAGAGAAGATTTTCAGATATTTTTTGCAATCAAGGTGCCCAACACAATGAGAACTGCAAGGCCATTTTTTTCATTTAAACATAAACTACCCCAAGTAGCTATACATATAAATGAAAAAATCTTTTTCAAGAATAGTAAGATCATTGTCCGATATAAATTGGTTTCACCATAATTACTTTTTGCACACATTTTGAGACTTTCTATTTATCATTAAACAAAACCTGGAAAAAACTTGTAATCATCATCATCGTCGTCCGAGACGTACTTCTTAGCAGTTCTTCTTGGCCTACCTCGGCTTCGCTTTATTTTAGTCTTGTTCTTGTTTTTACTTGAATCTCCGTCAGAGTTATTATCGTCTTTCTCGTCGTCGGATTCTGGAGTAGCCTCAATCTTCTGCTTGGCACTGGAGAATACAGACTGCAGAACTATACTATCCTCGTGAATCACTGAAGCTTCTTCATTGTAGATTTGAGCATTTTGGCACATGAGCATGAAATCTCTTTCCAAGTCAGAGAAGTCAGAATACTAAAAAACGTTAAAAATAGGTTATTAATTATCAGTAAAAATGATTAAAATGTAATGCCTTTGCTCCAAATAAAATATTTCAATTGACTTTTATAATTGGAATCTTTTAAATCATTTGGCAGTTATTTGGTACTACTCATGAATGTTTTAAAAAATCAAGGGTTCATTTTTTAATATTGTGAGTGAAAGTAACTAACTGTATTTTTTTCGCCTAGCTCCTGACCATTTTTGAGTTGGGTGAAGAGGGCCCCCTGAAATTCGAAAATTTTACTTTTAAAAGCGGGATCTGTTTGATCACCCAGTAACTTTTTTAGTCACCCTCAGAAATAAAAATATTAAAAGATTTGAATGCCGAGAGTGCCCGCGCTGGCTTCCGAAATAAATATTTTTTAAAATTGCATGCATCATAGGATTGACCAACGTTTGACCACCCATTAGATTTTGTTATAACCACCTCTTAAAATAATTTCAACAGGATAAACAATAATAGAAAAATACAAGTTATGGGTCAAATTTTAACTTTGACAAAACTGTCAATTCTTAGGAGGCACAGTTAAGATTCAAAAAGGTTTTTTTATTTCAGTAATTGATAGATATTTACGTATAAACATAGGTTTCATTGATTTTTTTTTTAATTTATTCCCGATGTCAAGAAAAAAATTATTAAAGTCGTGGTTTTTAAAGTTGAAAGCGCTACGTTACATATTTGACATTTGGCAACGTTGCCTAGTAATTGACGACAGACATGAAGGGTCTAATACCATTATCTAAAACTGCGTAATTTCCAGACATTTCTATTGGTTTACAGACTTGTGTTGCAGTGGTTGCAACTGTATACTGGATTATAATCATTAAATAGTAATAATGCGAAGAGGGTCTAGTTTAAAAACCTAATGAGGTTAGCTCGCAGAGCTAGGATCTATAGAAGCAGCTTCAGAGATAGAAGTTTCAACACACATAAAACGTAAATATTTACATCAGAACTAACAACAAGCATTCGAAAACAATATTGCCAAATTTAAGTTGTACTCAAAAATTCTGTTTATAAAAATAATTGATTTTTATTTTAAATACATTACTATTTTATGATAAGCGTTTTATAAAATAATTAATAGAGCACTTATATTGTATACCAAGACTTTAGCACATTAAGTAAAGTAATCAAGCGTCCGCCTTTAGGGAGCATGGGAGGATAGTCCTTCTTTTGTAGGCTCTCCAGGCAAATCTCCACTACGCCCAAGCGGCTTCATACGTCCTTGGCAGGAGGTTTGCCAAGGTGAAACTAGACATCGCTTTTATCCAGGAACCCTGGATTTCTAGCAACGGCCGGATAAGCGGCCTTGGAAACTATTCGGGTAAGTTGGTAGCCGGCAACTCTCAGGACAAACTAAGAGCATGCCTTATCAGAAATATTATAAAAAAAATTATGTTAACAGGTTACTGCACCCCCGATGTGGTTGCAGCCCAGGTCAAGATCCCGGTGGGGAACAACAGCAAGGTTGTAGTAGTCTGCTCTGCTTATTTCCTGGGAGACTCAGGTCAAGACCAACCTCCTCCTCCTGCGATAGTGCGAGACCTAGTTGGTTATTACAAGAGGAACAGTGTTGCCTCAACCAAATATGTCAATGTACCAAACAAATTTACTAAAATATACCCAATTCTGAATATGTACAAAATTCATATAAATTCAAAATCTAGATACAATAAAACAAATATTTCATTTTTAGTATAATATAATAAAATTGCTTTTAATAAGAATTTATTCAGTGTATCCAATTAAGTTGGAACCATATAAAAAGTTCTGCAGGGTTCAAAACTTAAAATGCAGATATCAGATATCATTTTTTTAAGCCGTATACGAGGTTTGTCAAAAAATATGAATATGAAAAGTGAAGTACCTTTATTTTTGACAAACCTTATATACGACTTATAAAATTTGATATGATAGTATCTGGTTGTATTTTAGGTTTTAGTCCATGCTCGACTTTTTATGAAGAATAATTTTTTCTTCCTAATATTAATAATAAAAAAGTTTCTCATAGGTCACCAACTGTTTACGTAAGTTGGCGGCTTATGCACATTTGAACAGTGACCCTAATAGCCAAAATATTTTGCGATATTCTATGTTCTTTTATGGCTTTTTTCATTTCCATAAAGTAATAAAATCAACTATACCTTTAATTTGAATAGCTTGATTTAAATATAAAATATAAATTTGAAATAAGGGTTTTGTTTGTTAAATATTCATAAAGTTTGAAAATAGGAAATTCATTTTTCCAAATGTACTCTGTCCTAAAATGTTCTTGTGTACCATAAGCGAGAAAATGTACCCAATTGGGTAATTGGGTACATTTGTACCCAAACAGCAATGCTGAAGAGGAACAACAAACAACTCGTCATTGGGTGCGACGCTAACGCACACTACAAGGACTGGGGAAGTACCGACATCAATATCGGGGTGAGCAACTGTATAATTATATAATCGGTGAAGAGCTTATTGTTAACAACGTAGGTTCGGAATCAACTTTCGTGACGAAAAATCGTGCGGAAGTTCTAGACATAACAATCAGTACTTCGTTTGTGAGTGCCAATATTGTTAACTGAAGGGTATCCACCGAACCCTCATGCTCTGATCATAGACATATCAGATTTGACATGAGGTCGGATCGGATACCTACTCTCCAATTCCGTGACCCTAAAAGCACAAACTGGGGTGGATACGAAAAGTCCCTGCAGGAGGGGCTTGGGAACGTAATTAAAACTATTAAGAATAGCGCAGACATTGAAGTGATCAAATTCAAAATGCCCTTATTACTGCCTATCAGGAGAACCGCCCACTAAAGGAGAGAAGAGACCTATGGGGTACTCCATGGTGGAGCAGAAGCCTCGACCAAAAAAGAAAAGAAGTTCGACATCTCTTCAATCGAGCTATTGAATTTGGTTGCTGGGAAAAATACCGCAAATCTCTAACGGAGTACAACAAGGCTATTAGAAAGGCCAAACGAGAATCGTGGAGGAAGTTCTGTCAGAGTATATCAGATTTACCTGCAAGTACCAGACTTCACAAGATTCTCGCCAAAGATCGGAGCTCGATAAAAAGACCCGACAACACCTATACGGACTCTGGCAGGGAAACTTTAGAGATTCTTTTACAGAAACACTTCCCAAGCAGTCGAATCCTGGAGGACAGGCAATATGTACCCCTTCCTTTAAGGGTATCGATCATACGACCCAAAAAGGAGGACTGGAACCTTGTTGCACAAATTATCTCTCCAAACGCCGTGAAATGGGCGATTAATTCATTCTCTCCCTTCAAATCACCAGGAGAGCATGGCATTTTTCCTGCCCTTTTGCAAAAAGGACAGGAACTCCTGCTACCCCTCCTTGTGAGGCTGTTTAGAGCAAGCCTGGCGTGAAGCTATATCCCGCTAGGATGGACGATGGCGAAAGTCGTGTATATACACAAGACTGGTAGAGTAGATACCTCCCTACCAAACTCTTATCGTCCAATCTACCTAACATCATTTCTTCTAAAAACACTATAGAGGATACTAGATAGGTATACTAGAGAATGAGGCCTTCGAACAAGCCCGTTCAACTGTTCCCAATATGCCTACCAAGCAGGTAAATCGACAGATTATGCCCAGCACAATATAGTAGACAAAATCGGTCATTCCCTAAATCACGGGGAGATTGCGCTAGGTGCCTTCCTAGATATAAAAGGCGCGTTCAAGAACGCCCTTCCTCAGTCTTTGTTCGCTTCTAACGTAAGAAGAGGAATCGACCAACTAACTTGTAATTGGATCATTAGCATGATGGCAAACTGGAACATCACTTCATCACTGCAGGGAGAGATGGTCTCTTTCAGGCCTGCCAGAGGATGTCCACAAGGCAGCGTACTTTCACCCCTACTGTGGACCATTTTACGTCATATGTCAAACTCGAGATATTGGAGCAAGTCAGTTTTGGTGAGAATAAATGCAATTTTTTTAAATAGGTTCATTTAAATGACATAAAATCATTTTCTTTCCGTCAGCCTTCAAATATAAAATTGACTGCAAATAAATCAAAGTCCGACTCAAGTCGCTATTTTCATTACACTTTTCTATCACTCGAAGTGCGTCCATAGGTCATATCACAGTCTCTACTTTATTCTATCACGATGGTACAAATCCAAATCTTAAATACATTGACAAATTATTTTTTCAAGAACACGTCGCGATGGTGTAACACTATTTTGCTAATCGAGTGAAATTCAGTGATTTTGAATTGGTTCGCGAAATAACCAAAACCCAAAACAAGCCTATTAGTCATTATTATTATGTTTCTATACTTCCGAATCTTCCGATTAATTAGTTGATTTGTTTGTGTTGTGTTATAGTGTTTCCCAGATGATTTTTTGTTTTGTTTTTAGCTGTGAATAAAATAACGTTCGTTATATTGTTTAGTTAATGATTTATAGTTGGTAGAATACATTTGTGTCGTGTGTAGAATACATTTGTATATTCTTTACATTAACATTAACTGTTTGTGAATATGAAGTTCTGTACAGTCTGCCATAAACAATTTCGAAAAAGCGAAGGAATTTCATTTCACCTTTAAGTATATATAAACAAATGTGTTTGAAAAAAAAAATAAGATTTTTAACATCTGATTTTTATTAATAAATGTGTAAACTTTTGTAGCATTCCAAGATATGAGCGTAGATTTGTCTGGTTGAAAGCATGGTTACGAACCGTGGGTTGAAAGTGTTTTTGTTTTCCCAATGAAACTACGCCACTGGAAATTTTCTACTTTTATGAACCGAGTCCTTGCAAAACAAACAACCTGAAATTCAACAATATGTTTGCAACATCGCTTAACATTGAATACGAATTTATAAGTCGGTCTCTCTCATACTCCCCCTATATATCCTAGCTCTGTGGGTTAGGTACTTTGTTTTGAATTGTTATAATGAATGATTACTTGTTATGATTGATTTTTCTTTTTATTATAATATC